TTACCAAAATGTGAGAAATAGGTAACAGTGATTTTCAGCGCAGAAACTCAAAACCACAACCTCTGCATGTTGATATGCACATGATGAGGTGAGGTACTGTGTATTAACCCCATGCCTGTGTCCTCTTGCCTCTCTTGCGCCCAAGCACTTTGCTTTCAAGTTAGTTAATACAGTAGTCCAGCTAAGGATGATCTTGTACATGACATTTTATGATAAAGTGGATCCTGGCTCAGTGGACCAAATCATTGCATTGATTGTGTAAGGAAGAAGCCTTAAAGGACTGATTAGAATAATAATGGATATGTATTGATGATTTTAAACAGTTTCCATATAAAATGCTTAAATTTTATTTTTAATTACATTGTTGGTTCTAACGGAGTATTTTCTATCATCACCAAACATGATGATCCAACTTCAGGGCATCTCCTGCTTGGACAAATAATGGCTGCTTTTTTTTTTTTTTTTTTTTTTTTTTTTTTTTTTTTTTTTTTTTTTTTTTTTTTTTTTTTTTTTTTTTTTTTTTTTTTTTTTTTTTTTTTTTTTTTTTTTTACAGAACAGATTTGAACTTTCAGGTGTCTTCTACCAAATATGAATCATACAACTTAGAGTTGGGATGTGCTGCGAGATCTGAGTGCTGATGCCAGGTGCAAAAAGTATGAGAGATTAGTTTGCTTTGTATTGTATCGGGCTCTGCACCTTTTGACAGGCAGCAAAGGATGCGAAAATAACTTTGTGGCTTAGAGCCTCGCATTTGTGGAGCCATAGTCCTCCCTGAATAGAATGGATTTAGGCTTCTTCTGTATCTGACTTGCCTCTGGCTTGAAATAGGTCATCATCTTTATTGCTTTGCAAGGGAGTGCTTATTTGCAAAATTAATGCACAATTATCCACAATCGGCAGATTCAAGTTGATATATTCCAGTATATCTGGAATATTTCCAGTCGTCTGGCTGCCTGTGTCTGTTAGCCTGCGTCAGCTTCCTTGTGTCAGCAGCACTAAAAGGAGAATCAAATCTAATCTCTTGTGATAGAGAATAACCTTAACCTAATGCTACCAGATAGGACAGAAACATTTATTTGATGCTTTTTTTGGAAAAATGATAAGGTTATCCAAGCTGTAAAGCATTCATTACCTTTTCATGGAACTACAACAAAACAGGGTGTCTCACATCCCAGTGCCGTTTCCTATGGAAGGAGACTGTTCTTGCATGTGGGCAGTACTAGATGCACTGCAGATTTCCCTCAGAATGCATTAAGATTTCTAGCAACTATCTCTTAGGCTGGCATCGATTTTTGTGTTTCTGTGAGATACTTGGCAATTGTGGGTTTATGGTTTCCTATGGGTGTGGAGCTTCGTAAATGCAGTGGAGTGCCCGTAAGAGTTAGAAAAAATAGGTCTGTTCTTTCTTAGTAAGCATCAGGCTTCTGCAGTTTTCTTTTATTTCTAGAGAATAGTGTGAATAAAGAGTGGTTAAAGGGATTACCTTAATCTTTAAAAACTTGGGTTTATTCTGTTGTGTAGGAACAAGCTCTTTAGTCCAGAACTGATTGATAAAAGGATTCCGTATGTCATTTTTTGCTGTCTCTGTTGTTAGGTTGTTCTTTGCTGCTTTCCTGGAATGTATGTGCTTATGGGGAATGGGACACTTGTTATTGTACAATTTTTGTACATTTAGGTTTTATCTGGAGAGTTTGAAGAAACCTATATGTGTGGCAATGCTGCTGAATTCCAGAGATGTCATTCTTAAGAACTGAGTGTTTCAGGTTCTTTTCCACAGCAGAGATGGGGATGTATCTTGGCTCGAGGTTGGTAAGGCTGGGTTGTGCACATGATATAAGCTTAGAGCTGAGTTGTCTGAACAAGCAAGTCTGTGAGGAGCAAAGACAGGCTGAAGTTGCTGGCTCTGCTGACTGTTGTGAGTGCAACAGGTGTGGTGCAGTGTTTGTGAGGTAGAAACTGTACTGTGGTGGGCAGAGACAGACTTTGAGTCAGGTGAGGTTACTTGTTCTGATTTCTGGTTAGGAGAAGACTTGAGTTCCTTCAGTTGAACTGAAGTAGCTGTAGATCCTGCATGGTAGGATGCAATATACCTGCACATGGCCTGATTCTCAAGGAGCTGGCTACTTAAAGGGTTGCTCTGGTTCACAAAAAAACTGTGTCTAAGCTTATTCACTGATGTAGAAACAGGTTGCCACTTAAAAGGGAATTGTGAAGCTCGGAAATTTGTCATGGCATATGTGTTCTTGTGTGTTCTTGGTTAGGACTAGAATATGCTAGTCAGTACTAGATTTGTGAAAGTTTTCTCATCTTGTCAGAGGACTTTTGATGAATATGGGACACAAAATAGCTTTTCCATTTCTGTGTGCAAGGAGTAATTATTTGTTGCTATGGTTGACTTTGATAAATTTCTTTCTGCCTTCAGTGTACTCTAAATTGTGTGAGAAGCCTTTCTAAGATTATAGAAATATAAAGTTTACCTGCAAGATTCACTTGTGGAAAGGTTCTTGGTTTACTGCACAGATGTATAGTAGGTAATTCAGGGAAATGTTTTTGGTTCCTCTGAGAAATTTTGTCTTCCGTTAGACTTCAATTTCAGCTTCTTCAGGTAAGGATATTTTTACTGTAGCCTGGCAGCTGACAGTAAGCTTAAGGGCTTTTTCTTCTATCATAGAATTACAGATTGGTTTGAGTTGGAAGGGACCTTGAAGAATATCCAGTTCCAACCCCCTATCCATGGACAGGGACACCTTCCATTAGACCAGGTTGCTCAAAGCCCCATCCAAACTGGGCTTGAACACTGTCAGAGATGGGGCATCCACAGCCTTGCTGGACCACCTAAAATAGTCACTCAGTTTTTGCACTTGTCATGATATTAAGTTAGGAGGAAGATCTCTGCCCTTATTAGACACTCTTTGATCTCTTGCCAGCACATCCTAAATATCGTGCTTCCATTGTGCATATTGCTCAGTGTTGCTCAGTTATATTTGTTATTTAGTATCTTCGCTGTAAGAGGAGAGAGAAGATAGTTTGTGGTTATGGACACAAAACAGAAAATAACATGCAAGGAAGTTACTCATTATTCAGTCCTTAAAAAAAAAAAAAAAAGGATTTGGAAACTCATCTGGCAGGGGCTCCTTCTGCTGGGCACTGGTAAGGCCTCACCCCATGTGCTGTGTCGAGTTTGGGATACTTCCCAATACAGCAGAGACATAAGAGGGAATCCAGTGAAGAGCCGTGAAGATGATTAAGGGCTGGTGAATGGAAAATGGAACCAGGTTGTCTTCAGCAGTGTCCAGTGACAGGGCCAGGGCAGTGGACACAAACAGAAACAGGAGGATCCTTCTGAACACCAGGAAACGTTTTTTATTGTGAGGGTGAGTGAACACTGGCACAGGTTGCTCATGAGGCTGTGGAGTCTCCATCCTTGGAGATACTCAAAAACCATCTGGACATGGTCCTGGGCAGCCTGCTTGAGGAGGGGTTTGGAGCAGATGACCTCCAGAGTTCCCTTCCAACCTCAGTGCTTCTGCAGAAGGACTTTGTAGGTTGACTTCCACAGTTGCCTCAAGAGAATTTGTGTACAGAATACTTGAGTAGCACACTCTTTGGTGTCCCCCCCATACTCCTTACTCTTTATAGTTTTGTTTGCTTGTTCCTGAGCAAATTATTTTTACTCAACTGCAGCCTTTGATGAAATCATTGTTCTGGAATCTGTTCTAAAAATTGGTCTAGAAGTGAATCAATCATTAGTTTCCTTCAGGAAATTGCTGCAGAAAACTGACATTTAGAATTAGAATTAGAATGGGTAAATAAGGTGGTGTGCAAAATGCAAGATCAGTATTTTAGAGGGGTTTTATTCGTTAACTTCTAAATTTAAGTAATAAAGCTTGTTTTGATCCAACTTCGATTACATCCTGTAGTTGGTGCCTGCTTTAGAAAATGAAGTTATTTGCCTTTTTTTCTTTTTCTTTTTCTTTTTTTTTTTTTGAAGAGGTAGGTTGTCACAGTTTGTGCATCCAGACTGGTCTTGAGGCTGTGTATGTTTTTTTCTGGGAAGCAGAAAGGAGTTGACCTGAAAAAGGCAACAGGAGTCTTTGAACTACCTTTGGAAGAAGCATTGTTTATATTGCCTTCATTTCTTCCATCCCGGGTCTAAAAACTGATGGAATAATTTTTTCTGATAAGTAGTCTGAGTAACAGTGCAGATGAAGAACGATTCTCCTTTCTTCCTCCCTTTCCTCAGCTATAAATTTCTGCATTTGCTTGGACTCAAGTAGCTTCTTACATCAGTGTAGCATTATTGCTTTAGAGGTTTGGGTTTGTGCTTTGCTGCCTTTTTTAGGTATAAATTTGAATTCATGATGCTGTTTACCTACAGTAGTCTTCAAGTCCTAAAGTTAACTCTTTCAGGTTGTGCAGAATGAGTAACAACATGAGTTGCTTCACGATACAATGCCCCAAGTTGTCTCTGTGCACTAGAGGTAAATGTCTTCTCTACGTTGTCTCCAAGGTCTGAAACTTGCAGGGTAGACTTGAGTATAGAAGTCAAGGTGTAGAAGGTACTCTTCAAGATCAAAACATACTATTCCCATGTAAATAGAACACTAGGTCTAGGTTTTGTGAGTGTTGTTTACACAGATTATTAAGGTTTGATGAAAGAACTCCTTCACTAAACATTATGGTACTGTAGAAATTGGGTTGCAAAGTCTTGCAGGGAAAATACCTGATATGATCCTGATAAACAAGAGAAATAAACCATTCTCAGAAGTTGTTTCAGGGTCCTGAATTTTAAAACGAAATTTGATTTTTCTTTGTTTATCTCAGAAGCAAGCTATTACTGACACTGGATGAACGGGATAGCCTGTTGCACTCCTTTATTGATAACTGAAATTTCTATTATGGGCGTATTAAATATCAAGAAAATTTGGGGGGGTTATTTGTTTTAGGACAGATTCTGCAGGGTCCTTTTGATGATTAAAATCTTAATTTTCTGTTTTAGGTGTGGAATATCAAACAGATGATTAAATTGACTCAAGAACATATAGAGGCACTGCTAGACAAATTTGGAGGAGAGCATAACCCACCATCAATATATTTAGAGGTAAGTTTATGTGGTTCAATTAATAGTGTGTTATCTTAATCTTATGTTAAGCATCTTATGTTGAGACTGAGAATACCTGGAGTAAAAAAGAATATTCTCCTTGTGTATTACAAACTTAATTCTTGGAGGTAGGAAGGAGCTGTATGGGTTTCCTGATACACATCAGTAGGGGAATATCAGTGGTGCGGTCTAATAATTATGTTGGTGCAACTGAAATGTCAAGCATCCTTTTTAGGGGCCAGGGAGGAGAAAATTGTGTGTATGTAACAGAGCTCTGTTAGAAGCAAATATACACATACACACGAAAACATTTCATAAGAGTAACTTTGCCTTTAAAGCAGTTGACTTCACTTTTTTCCCTTTGAAAAATGATAATGTATAATCCAGAAATTTCTGTTACTAGAAGGAAACTTCTTAAATACGTAAAATTGTGTGTGGAGTAATATTTTTAAGCCACGTTTAATTTGTCAGCTAACTACAAATTAAATGTCTGTATTCTTTCATCATTCTAGATTCATGAAGTTGTGTTGATGTAGGGCCATTAAGAGCTTAAAGAACTGCATGCAAAAGTTACCTCTGTTAGGAATTGAATGGACATCACTTCCTTCAAACCTGCCCTTTTCTTGCTTCTCTCAAGTATTGAAATAACTGGAGGTCAACCAGATTTCTTTTGTAATCTTTGTAACTGCTGCCTAAAGGTACTGGGTAATTAAAAATAAAGATCTCATTATTTGAGGTACTTCTATCTTTAATCTTAATATGTCAGAGCAGGGCACTAGCTTGATTGTACAAATGTTGACATTACACCCTTAACAGTTAAGGTCAAGCGAGGCCCTCCTTAGTTGCTTTACTTAGTGCTAATGTGAAATGGGAGTATTGAATCACTGCTAATCTCTATTTTAACCTCTCAGTGCTATGTATAAGCACACCTCTGTTTTAACATGAACTGGTTCATTCCATATGTCTGGATTTATTACTGCCACATGTATGTGGGTTTCATAAGTGTGTATCAAATTGCAGTGATAGTGAGCTTAGTCTGTAGTAAGTGTGGACTACAAGTACTGCAATTGTTGGTTCATTGCAGCCATTTGTCACTTGCTCGTGTCTAAATTAAAACTGAGATTCAACACAGGAAGCTCTGTGATTGTTCTGTAGGTCATTGATAGGGGACAGAGCATTTGCAGTCATAAATATGTACTGGGAGATGATTATGGCAGCATGAAGGGTAAGGTAAGTCTGAAGTAGTTGGTGACCACAAACTGTGAAGCTTAAAGTAGATCTGCAGGTTCAGTGGATCCATGTGCCACTGATATGAAGCTGCAGCTCTGGCTCATCAGCATGGTAGGGAAACCCTGGAAGGCAGAGCAGGATATTCCTTTCCTGCAGTGAGTTCTGCTGGATCGTGGAGCGGGTCTTGTGACAAGTAGTGCTGGTACTGAGTAGGGAGCCATGGTGGGGAAGGTGAAAGTGGCTGACATTCTGCTTTTTCAGTTGAGTTATCCCGTGAGACAGTGAGTCCTGTGAAAAGAGCCCATCATGGTTAAAATGAAAAGCCTTGTTCTTACCAGCTGTTTGGTGTGAGGCTCCTCCACTTCCTCTATTCAGGTGCCTGCAGTACTGGCAGCGACTAAGCCACTCCCGATTTTCTGGTTTTGTTGGATTAGTTTGCCATCCACTTAGCAGACTGAACTCGATCATGATGAAGTCCAGGGAGCTGCAGAGCTGTGGTTGAGATTAGGGAAGAGGAAGAGCTTGCGGCTTTTAGCCAAGAACCTAGAAAATAGTGTGAGAGAGGAAAGGAACTTCTATTTGGATGGTCATTAGCATGGATTAGATCATCCTTAGATGGATTTATTGAGGTGAACAGGATTAAATGCTGCAATTTGACCTGTAGTTTGTCTGGTGTGTAGATTTCCTGTGGTAGAACTGAAGTGAGAAAGAAAGAAAAGGAAGTGGATTACTGAGTGCCAGATACTGTCAGAAACCAGATTACTCTCTACCCTTGACTTTTCATCCGAGCAGCACTTGTCTAGTGTGTCCTTTCTGTGCCTTTTCTACCTTTTTGGCTGCTTTTACCTTGGTCAAGGCAGGTGTTGCATTCTGTTATCAGCATTTACTTTGCAGCAGTTTGTCTGAATCTAACCTGTCACTGCTACAGCTAATGTTTTGACTTACTGTATTCCTTCACCTGTCAGAAAAACTCTGGTTGCAGCATAGAAGGACAAAGCTGTATGTCAGAAGCTCTGATTGTAGTGTGATTAAGTGTGAAAGAACATGTTTGCCTCTAGGAAATGCAGAACTAAGGAAATACAATAGTTTTGAAATGAAGAAAACAGGAGAGTATGTAGAATACACCTGCAAAGTTTAAGTGGTTCAGTAGATCACTTGTCTATCTCACATCTGTTAAAAATAGCAAACTTCTCATGTACAGAGTTACTGTGAGGTATCAGGCCTGTGACTTTCATGGAGGAGCCTCTTTCCCCTTAAACTTTTATGTCTAGTCTGTGTCTAGGTCTTGGTGCTGTGGTCTGTGTACTCTCATCAAAGTACTTAAACAGGAAGGTAGTGTTTAAAGACTAGGAGGGATGCTTATGCTCTGCCCATCCTCACCTGATCTCTGTATTTTTATTGTTTTGCTGAGGACTCGTTTCTGGCTGTAATGTTTGCCCTACCTTTACCCAGAATCTCTGTGGGTAATTTTGCTGGTGTGTAACTTGAACTGCATCACCCTTCCTTTTGTTTCCTTAGATTCATAGAATGGGTTGGGTTGGAAGGGACCTTTAAGGTCATTCAGTTTAAACCCCTCTGCAGTGAGCAGGAACATCTTCAACTATTTCAGATTGCTCAGAGCCCCATCCATCCTGACCTTGAATGTTTCTGGGGATGGAGCATCCACCACCTCTCTGGGCAACTTGTGCCAGTGTTTTACCACTACCGTTGTAAGCCAGCTCATGTCCAGTGTGTCATCCACCAGTACCTACTCTGCGGGATTGCTCTCAGTCTCTTCGTCCTCCATCATCCAGTATTGATATTGATTTTAAAGTTCTGCTGCTGCTCTGATCTCTTTGCATCTCCCTAATATGCAAGCAACTCTTAAGGACTTTACTGTAGATTGTGACAGTTGATCATCTTTTGAGTGCTATCAGCAAGCATATTGTCTTTTTCTTTTGGAAAAAATTGGAATTAGCCAAAGCTAATTGCTAGGTAAGTACCTGGAAATGAACACTTTTGCTTTCATCCATGCTGCCTTTCACTGTTGCAAACATCTGGTTTTATTGTAAAGCTTTCTCCAAAACCATGGGTTTTTGTATGCTTATGACAAGTTTGACAGCTATCCATCCATCTTCTCATGGATGGAGTTTCAGTACCAGAGGGTTTGTTTGGTTCTTTTGTACTCCTGTCTGGCTTTTATATCCTTCATTTCTTACACATATAAGTGTTCGTGTTAGAGAACTTGCTGCAGTCCATGCGCTGGCTCCTGACCCTGTGTTGGAGCTGCCTCTGTATGCCTGTCAAGTAGAGTTGTGGTTCAACCTGGCAACAAAATTACTTTTCAATTAAAAGTGAAAGGAAGGGGTGGAGGGGAAACAGAAGCTCATGGAAAAGCTGAAGAATTCAACAAAAAAATAATTCTGAAAATTGAGCGTTCAAAGGGTATAGTAAAATTATTTATGCATGGAATATAACACATACACCTCATTTAAAAATAAGAAGGAATTTATGCCTTAGTTACGTTGCTCAAGAAATAGAAGCTTTTGTTTCTCTGCTCATCTGAGTGAAAAGACAAAATTCTTTTTTCCCCCAGATCTTTTTTTTTTTAAATTCAGCAGAGGGTGTCAATGCATTTTACATCAAAAGAACTTTAAAACTGACAGCTGTTGTTGCAGCCATCATTTTAGGTTTCATCAACTGACTATAAAAGAGGAATGGTTTTATTGAAATATTGAAAGTGATTGACATGTGCTGTGTTGAGTTCAACATATATTTAATTATTCCTGCAAGCAGGGGTACTCGGATTCAGGGTTATCTCCCTGCCTTGATCCATCACTCATCAGTGATGGTCTTACAAAGGTGACTGTGGAGCGGGGGGAGAGAGCAGAACCTGCAAGCCTGGGGTAGAAAATTTAAAGTGAAGCTGGGGCGCAGTGAGTCCCTTGCTTTGGTCCTCCCAGGGCAAGAAAATAGGGGCTGAGGAAAGAGAACAAAGCTGAGAGACTTCTGAGTGTGTCTGTAAGGTACATGGGTAGGAAACAAAATGAGCAGAAGAAAGAGCATTTGTCATTAACCACACAATTTTTATTCTAATGGTTATAATTACTAATAGCTTTGGGAATCTTGTTGATGTTCTCTAATATGATTGTAAGAAAAACTTTTCTGTTTGTCCTGTCTGGAATAAATAATAAATCTAGCAAGCAAAGACTGTATTAAAATCAAAAAATTACTTGTAGCTGAATTTCTTTCTTGGATAATCCTAGTTCTTAACTTCTTCCATTCCCTGTGTGTGAGCATGGATCTCAGATCTAACAGAGCCCCAGAAATCACTGTCAAACCATAGAATGGCTAGGGTTAGATAGGACCTTAAAGATCTAGTTCCAATCCCCCTGACATGGGCACTGACACCTTATCACTAGACCAGGTTACTCGGGGGTCCATCCAGCCTGGATTTGAGCACTTCATGGATAGGGCTTGCAGAGTTTCTCTGGACAACCTGTTCCGCACCTCACCACCCTCACAGTGAAGAATTTGTTCCAAATATTTAATTTAAACCTAATGTCTCAGTTTAAAGCCATTCCCCCTTGTCCTGTTACTATGTGCCCTTGTAAAGAGTTCCCTCTCCAGCTTTCCTGTAGGCTTCTTTTAGGTACTGGAAGGTGCTGTAAGGTCTCCCTGGAGCCTTTTCCAGACTGAGGAACCCCAAATCTCTCGGCCTGTGTTCATGGGAAAGGTACTCCAAATATTGGAAATAACTTCTTGATTCAGTAGATGTAAAGATATCATTA